CTGCTTTCGTTCTTTGAAGAGATCATTTGGTAGCCTTTCAGAAGCTGCATTTCTTTTAACCATTCCAAATAACTTGACGCTGTTAGAAAATTTGGCCACCTTCCTGATTGCTCCTAAATCCAAATGGTTTAGGAACAAATTAAAAAGCAATGATCCTAATAAAAATCCTAGGGATGGGTGGAGGAGTATTCAGCTACATCCACTGCAAGTTCTGCCCATCTATTCTTATTCTCTGCATTGGGCACTTAATCTGACATTGATCCATAAAATGACCTTGACTTCTATCTCATTACTGTCAGACTTATTCTGATGTTTCTGATGTTTGTGTTCTATCTCATTATTGTCAGACTTATTCTGATGGCTGGGTATTCTGAAGTTATATTCTGGTGGGTACACTAATGCCTACCCTAATGACCCAGATTTATTTATATTTCACTTTTTACTTATATTTCTACCTTCTATCTCATCAGGGGTTGTTCTTTCTTGAACCAGATATGGTCATCTCCTGCTGGCTTCCCCCAAGGAACTTCATAAACATGTTTTTTTTAAAAGCTGCTCAACTTATTTTTTACTATTAAAAATATTTGAGAAGAGGAGGGCAGGGGTAGATACTGGGCAAGGTGATCTGTACAGAACCCTGCAGCACTGTTGTCAGGATGACTAACATATTGGAAGGCTGTATTACTCATTCACTTGATCTAAGCATCATTTTCAATTCATATATTTCCGGGTATACCATCTTAGCAGCAAACCAGTGCATGCCTGTTGAGAATATCACCAAATTCAGTGGGGCTTTCTCTCAGCCTGAGAGGTGTGCAGGAAGAGTGGTAAACTTATGGCCCTCCAGCATTCACTGAAGATAATTCCCAGCAAGCCTAGTCAATAAAGCCATTGGGGAAAGATGCTGGCAACTGTAGTTCATCCAGAAGACTGCAAGTTTTCCCTTTCTAAGAATGGTAGAATTTTAGCTGAGGGTAGGATAGGATAGGAATATTGGCTCCACAGCTTCAGTCTAGTGCAGTAGTTCAGAATATTAACTTGGTAAATAAACCTCTGCTCAGCATGGTTTTTTGATGTTAATACTAGCTTGCCCTTCAAGATGGCTATTTACTTGAATGCATCAAATATTACAAAAGGATTTCCTCCTAGAACTCTCTCTCTCTCTCTCTCTCTCTCTCTCTCTCTCTCTCTCTCTCTCTCTCTCTCTCTCTCTCTCTCTCTCTCTCTCACACACACACACACACACACACACACACACACACACACACACACACAGAGACAGATTCTCTCCTAGAACACACACACAATCATACACACATAAATGAGTACATTTAATTTTTTTTCTCTTAAAAATCCCTCTTTTTGACCTCAGGAAGAACTTTTATGTATCCATGATGGCATTAAGACTGTAAATGTAAACAATCATACAAGTCAGCCAGGCCACAATCATTTTAGTTCGGTACACATTATTTTTGGCCCAACCAATCTTTCAAAGTTATTATGATGCTGCTCTGAATTGTTTCACTTATAAAAATAATGAGCTGTGCCACCAATAACTATCCCAGAATTGCTCACATGTAGGATCTGGATTAGATCATTTTTGGTGAGAACCTTTGACCTTCAGTTCTGATGGCCATCAAACTGGGTGGTTCTGTACATTTACTTGAATTAACAGTACTTCCACTGATATTAACTCAGGGAGCCACTGGGACTGACTCTGCTGGGTGCCAAATAAGACTTGGCTATTCTTATGACATTGGAGCCAGTGAGTGAGTTTCCCAGGTTCCAATCTAGAGACAGGCAAATTGTTTATATATTCATCTTATGGTGACCTGGATGCCGGAGTCAGTTTCTAAAAGGAGGGGATTTATACAAAGAAGGACATAAGAGCCCTTGTGGTGCTCCACAACTGGTAAACTTGTTAAATGGAGCCCCGTCTCTAGGCAGACGGGGGGGGGGGGGGGCTGCAATTTAAAAATCCTTCATCATTACCAACTTCCATCTGCTGTGGATTCATTAAATGTCTGCCTCTAACACTTCCTCAATTTCCACATTTTGAAAATGGGGAAAGTAGTTACTATCTCACCTGGTGATTATTTATTTAAAAATAGTATTATTATTTTTTGTCTTCTGGAACTTCAAAGCAGCATTAAAATATCCCAGTGTTACAAAGTGACCCCCCCCCCCGCTTTTCATGCAACTTTTTTTTTTAAATAAAAAGGACATTACCAGTACATCTATCAGTAGTATAATATTAAATTAAAATCACTAATATTGTTCTGGTACAAAAACATCTTGCTGCACTTTCTAAATTAAAAGGCAATGAAGGAAGACTTGCAAAACAAGAGAACTCTCCACTCCATTTTCAAGCTAAGTGCTTACTTTGTGCTGTAAGGAGTGACCACAGCTGGTTGAAAACAAGGTCTTTGAAGAGTTTGGTTGAAGGAGCTTCCTCTTTTCCTTGCTCCTGAGTTAAGGAGACACTGCATTTCAAGATAAGTGCATAGGTTTTGCAGATAAAAAAACCCCTGGTTACCCTAAGCAAATATCCAGGGTCCCAATAAGTGAATGGGCAGAAGGTCTCCTAGATGTCCCAGAAGAGCCAGATGACCTCATTTTTAAATCAATGAGATCACTATAACATTTACACTGGGAGTCAAAATGTACAATATGTAACTGCACTATTAAGAATGTACTGGGTTCCATCCCAAGCACCTCCAACCTAGATTCAGATGAGATACAGTATTTAGGAACCAGCTTTCCCTGAGAACTAGGAGAGCTGCTGCTATTCTGAGCAGAGAACACTTGGCTGAAAGTGCTCGAGCTTTGATTCAATATAAGGTTGTTCCTGTTGCAACAGGAGACTCTTCTGGCTCCTTGTAATTTCCAGAATCCTGCCAAGTGGCCCCTCCCAACTTGCCCCCTTAGGAAGGACAAGAGATTGCAATCTTGCTCCTTGGTGCAATCCAATTTATTTCCATCTGCACAAATTTTGAACAAGCCATTTGTTGGTGAGAGAGGGTATGCATTTTAAAAAAGAGGGTGAGGCAAGGTGACAGAAAAGAGGTAACCACTTGACCAGACAGGAGGCAACTACAAAATCAAATCAGTCAAACCCAGTCTGTTCAGCCAAGCTGCAGTGCTGGGAGGAAGAGAGATCTGCACCAGATCCACAGGGAGTAAAGGGCACTCAGCTGCCAAAGAAAACTCTAGGCTCCTTTCCCTGTAGACTAGAATGTTTTTTTTTTCCTTCCTTTTGCAAGCAACAATGCACAATTGAGGGAAAAGCAGTTTTGCAAAGAGGAGTTCTGGTCTCTTTGTGCCCGTCTCCACCAGAGAACATGAGATTGTTCTCGGCTGCAACCTAAGCCGCTTGTAGAGGAGATGAGGCTTGGATCCCTAGTTCCAGTGGGGTGTCTGCTTTTTCCTGAGCTGAAAAATACAATATCAGGAGGTGGGGAGGCAAGAGGTCATTGTAGTTTTCAGTGATGCTGATCAAGCCATTCCAAGACAAAAGATACCTCTTGCCCTATCCTCCCATCTAATCACTGTTTACAAAGCCTCAGGATCATTTCCCTGTTTCCTCTCCCTTCTCCACTGCTGGAGAAAAAAACAAGCAAAGAAGCGAGCTTTTTGGATCATAGGAGTCCACTGCACATCTTGAACTTGCAACTCCAGAGCACGGGGGGGCGGGGGGGGGGAGAGAGGAAGATTTTAAAATTAACTTTATGGTTGTGCCTTTCCATTCTGACTGACGCAAATGCTTCCTCTCTCTTGATAGGTAAACAATGCTTCTCAGCACTAGTGAAACCTGCTCTGTTCCTATGGCCTACTTTGCTAATTAATTTTGTGAATTTCAGCAGCCGCTGAGAAGACAGACCCTACAGAAGATAGATGGAAAATTATTTGCATTTTCAAAGGAGAGATAAAAAAAAAATGTATTCTGGCAATCACATTGTTTACTTTATTTCAGCAAGGGTTTCTGGCATTGGATTCAAATCTCTCCATTAAACTCAGAACTCATTCAGGGGCAGCCTTTTATATTTGTATTTGCTCAACAGCTTCTCTTTGCACCCTTGTGCTTGGGAGATTATTTCACTTCCCTGAGTTGCACCTCCTCCTTCTTCTTCTTCTTTGGGGCAAAACAGACTTCTGTATGTAGTGGCTTCAGAGAAATATGCAGGATGAAGTTTGCTTGGGCAGATGATATTGCTGTGAGAAGGGATAAATTTATCCTTCTTCCCCCCAAAAAGCGAAACTGGCTGGAGATTCTACAACTTCCAGCTTGTGACCTGGGTCACTTATCTGACATCTGTAACAGTTCAATAAACTGTTTTTAGCACTAGACTCAGTCCTTTCTCTTTAAGAATTCGGGGCTGCAAAATAATGTTTGTTCTAGCTGAAATGCCAGTTCCTCAAAATCAGTATCCTTACAGAGCTGCGGTCAAACAACATCTGGAAGGACAAGATCTGGTCAAGTCTGTCCTCAGCCATGGAGGTTCAGTGGATGACTTTGAACTACTATCCCTCTCAACCCTATCCAGCAAGGCTGTTGGATTGGGGGGGGAGGGAATTGGAGGAAAGGAATGCTATGTAGTCTTCTGTTTAAGCTCCTGGAATAAAGGTGGTATATACATCTAGCAAAATAAACATCCTGGTAACTGTTAATAGGCTGCTGCTGAAAGCACAAGCAAAAAATCATTGCAAAGGAAAAAGAGGCGGCATTTATGGAAAGATGAATGAAAGGATTGTCCTAAACAGAAGGTTCCTCTGAAAGCTAAGATGCAATGACCTGCCCGGCAAAGTTGGTGCAAGGACAATTGGAGAACAGAGCGCAGCGCATGCCAAACTAGAAGTGCTATTGAGACAGCAGACCATGAAACTGCTTGGACATATTAATGTAAGAAGGCGGTTTAAGAAGCAGCCCTTTGACTTTACATTTGCCAAAGCCATGTCACTAGCACTAACATTACCCTTTCCCCAGCCCCTCGGTCACTCACCAGAAGATAGATGCTCCCCTGGATAAGAAATATGAAACAGCACCGAGTCAGCTGCATATCTTCAGCCTCTTTGCTCTCCTCCTTAGCGATCTAAGAGAGCTCTGTAGTGCCTCCTTGTTTTTGTTTGGTGTGTGTGTGTGTGGGGGGGGAGGATGATTTGGCCTCTGGCCTCCTAGGATCCCCCCATTCCAGGCTTTGTCTTGATAGTCTCTTTCCAGCCAGGCATGGGGAAATTTGCAGCCTTCTTCTCACCCTCTGCAGCTGGAGATCTCCATGTGGCTGCTGCCTGCTTCCAGCTTTGCTGGAGACTCGGGCAAAACTCACTCCAGTCTCTCGCTGCTTCCCTCCCACTGACAGGTGCCACTGCTGGAGCAGCGGAGTCCTGCCTTAACCCTTGCCTGTCTGCAAACTTTGAAACTCAGCCCTGAACTGGAAACTTGCTGTAATACTTTGAAAAAGAGGAGGAGGAGAACTGAGTTCCAGCCCATTTATCCCCTGCACAGCCGGGCTGGGATCCAGGAAAGGAAAACTGAAGAAAGGCAAGAAAGAATACAGTAATGCCGTAGTTATCCAGTATTAAGTTGACCAGGAAGATTTTGATAGCATTTTATAGGGATGGGTGAAGATACAGATTATGATAATGTAGGAAAATAGGCAAGTTACTTCAACAAGATATTTTTCTGAAGGGGAAAGAGAAGCCCCTAATGTGACTGATCACAGGATTTGAAGGATTGCCTCTGATATCCCCAAACCAGCCATCCCAGCACCCTACTCAACCTGCTGTCCAGGCAGAGGGGCTCTCAGCAAAACGCCACTTTTTTGGGGAGTGTTTCCATACTATCTTATGAATGCACTATCTGACAGATTCTCCTGCCCCCACTAATCCCCTCCTGCTGTTCTTTTCCTTTCCCTCTCCCCTTTTTTTCTCTGTTTTTTCTCTCCTTACACCATCCACCTTCCGATGCTTTGTTGAATTTCAAGGTCATCCTTTACCAATCTGTGTCCTCCACTTGTGTTAGGACTGCACCACATCTCTGAATCTCAGTGTGATTTATACAGGGCTGGGCTGAAACATCCGAGGCTCTGAGATGGCAATACTTTCTGCCTCAACTATGGACAGTCTACTCTAGACAATCTCCTATTTAAAGCCTGATGAGGATGAATTGTGGGCTCCAGGTCCAATTTGCTGTAAAGGAGCTTGAGCAAGAGAACTTCCCAGTGAGTCATACCCATATAAAAATATTAATTAAGCTTTTTTCTCTGATCATTGTTTATTTTAGTTCCTCCCCACCGCTATCACTTAAGTTTTGATTCATTTATGCATTAGTGCTCTTATGTTTTAGTGGTGTAATCATTTAAAAAATTCATTTCATTTCCACTTCTTTTTCTCTCTATAACACATCCCTTTTACAATAAAGATTAGATATTGCATATTATATACATTAAGGATCATATGTAATTTAAACCAGCAGTGCTGTTGTTTGGTGGGTAAAGAGAAGCTTTGCATGCCAAAGATCCCAGATTCAATATTTGCTTCTTCAAGTGGGGCTAGAAAAAAACAAATGTGGGTGAAATCTTAGGAGAAATGTTTTGACCAAAATTGATTGTCTTGAACTGATAGGAACATTAGCCTGATTCCATAATCCATTCTAGGATTACATTATTCAGGTAGCCAGACTGCCTTATCTCAGAAGAAAACTTCTTTTTTCCGAATTGACTTGAAGATGCAGGTGTGCCTTTTCCTAAATGAAACCAAAAAGCAAGTAATTTCTACGTAATAATAGCTTCTGACCTCTAGCAAAACCCGGTCTGTCCTGGTACTGCCACTGGGCAGCAGAATGCAAGGCTAGGGCATGCTTTTCAACCTTGGCAAGTTTAAGATGAATAAACTTCAACACTTAGTATTTCCCAGCAGCATGTTGGCTGGGAAACTCTGGGAGTAGAAATCCACATAGCTTAAATTTGCCAAGGTTGACAAATACTGATGTAGGGACAAATGATGCATTCCAGCAGTCTCTTACATGCTGGACCGAGCATTGGATCTGGGTAGAGAAGAGCAACAATAAACTTCTTGCAAGTTTAAGAAAAATGAGCCTTTCTTCTTTGAAAAAAGAAAGAAAGAAAGAAACTAAGGTGCTTAAGGACACCAGGAACTGGTCATTTCTCGTCAAGGATATTTTCAAGCTATTTCTTGGATTGGTCTTTAGCAGATAGCAAAAGGAGCACAGCTCAGTCTACCATATTGGTGTAGGAGAATCAAATACCAACACTTTCTTCAAATGATACTGTGGGGACTTTCATACTGGTAGTATGATCAATGAAACCATGATTTATTATGCATTGGCTGACCTAAAAGAGGATAGAAAGGTTTCTACAAACAGAGAAAGAGATGGTCTTTTGTCAATGCAAAGAAGTTGGAGATGGTGCTTCTGTTCAATGGACACAAAACATTGAACACTGAAAACCTAAAGATCAGTTTACAGATCCTCCATTTAAAAGGCTCTTGGGAAGTGTTGGTTGGGAAGAGTTTTTATCTGAGATATTGGATACAATAAATATTTCCACACTGTGGAACATGACAATTGTACTCCACACATTGTAAAGATGGTGGCTATTCTACGAAGATTGGGCTGGACAAATAATGGGCTAAATGGAGCCACGGTCTTGCTCCATTACTAGGTTTTGTCACTACATTAATCCACATTTGATGTTCCAAATCAGTTGTAATTTGTTTAATAAACCATGGTTAAAGAAATCATGGCTTCTATAAATCATGGCTTTCTATAAATCTAATCTGTAAAGACACATTCAAATCATTAGGCAACTAGGGTTAAGATTTGGGTTAGACAATCTGCTGTCCTCCAAGGACTGTAGTCCTCATTTCCTATGAATCACAATTAGCATAACTGATGGCAACAGATTATATATATCTGGTCAAAGTTGATGATCTTTGTACTATGAGTTCAATGTGATAGCAAGATTCCACTGATACATTTCCATGAGAAACAATTTAGCCAAGGAGGCAAAAGTGGTCTGTGGTGGTTTTCTTGCAGATATTTCATTACCAAGCTAGGTAATATCATCAGTGCTAGAAGGAAGTGGGGTTTACTCTTATTTTTATATACTAGTGGCTTGCCCTGTCAGTGTTGGTTGGAGTGTCTTGCTGGTTTCTTGATTAGGTTATTGTTTAATAGTGTCTTGTTTGTCTGTTGATTGGGATATTGTTTACTTGACTGTTAGTCTAATATTAATCCTGGTGTTAATGAGGTGATAGGCTTTGGATGATTCTTTCTCCCTTAATCAAGAGGAGATAAATGGGATCCATGACTGGAGGAAGACTATTCTGTTTCAAATCTGATTTGAAACATGAGATATGGAGGTTCTCAAAATACATAATACTTGATTAACAATTAACCAGTGGAACAGCTTGCCTTCAGAAATTGTAAGTACTCCATCACTGAAGGTTTTTAAGAAGAGACTGGACAGTCACTTGTCTGAGATGGTATAGGTTCTCCTGCTTGAGGGGGGGGGGCTGGACTAGAAGACCTCCAAGATCCCTTTCCTGTTCTATTCTATTCTATTCTATTCTATTCTGTTCTGTTCTGTTCTGTTCTGTTCTGTTCTGTTCTATTCTATTCTGTTCTATTCTTGATTTAGACTTATCTGCAACAGTATGTAGACATTAATGTTGTGAGGGGGTTGATGGGTAAGCTTAGGTTATAAATGATTGCAGATGGGCCGATGTGCATACCTCGCAAATCTCAAGTGTTGTGTGGAGATGCGGGTCCTGCAAGCTGATTGGTTGACCCAACTTCCAGTTGGGAGGTAGGCTAAAAGACAAGGCACATTGTTGTTTAAGCAAATCCTAGCCAGAACATTAACATTCACAGAAGTATAAATGTGACAGTTATGCAACTGTTTCCAAAGACAGACACATACATTCCCTGATGTGCAGTGACACAGAAGTCTAAATCATGTCTAACAAGGAACACAGAAGCCAAGTGTAAGTATATAGTAAGTTCCATATTAGGAGACTTCTGTGCCTTTAACAGTTACATTTCAGATGAAAATTAAACAGATGCAGAATTTTCTAGTACAGAAGAATACATTGCTTTAATTTCTGCTTGCAATGCAGCTGATAAATGCATAGGACCCACAGGAAGTTTTGTTACGAAAAGGGATGACATTCCTTGAGAACACACTGGAATAATCTGAGCCTCTCAGAAGGCAGACTGCTGAACAAATGTTTCCACTGCTTGATAGTTCCTTTTCTTTTTAATTTAGTCAACTTTGATTACATGGCTAAGGGCATCGTGGCACTACAAAGATAATCAGTCAAAAAGCACGCGGTAGCTATAGAAATCCAACTAGTTTTGCCCACATCAGATCAAGCCAATTAATCACCCGTGCTTTACAAAAAGAAATCAATGTTTCCATTGAGTTTGGCAACCTGCTCCTTAGGTTTAAAATATGCACATGCAACATGCAAATAAAACTGGGACTAAATTGCACAAAAGCTCACCACTAAACATTTCAGAAGACTGACCCAGATTCCTCAGTGTTGGATCCTGGTTGGGACAGCTTGGGAGCTGCTTCTCTTCAGAAGTGTTGTGGAATTGCTGGGGGGGGGAAGAGGGGGGGTTGTACAGAAAGATCTGCTCAGCAGCTTGATCTGAAATGTGGACAGTACATAAAATGGGCACGGACTCTGGTTTTGGCCTCTTTGACTCATGGAAGTATCATCGCATCATGTCTGGTACTTTTATGATTACAGATAAAAAGTTTTATACTCAAAAAACAAGAGGAAGATTAGCTTCTCTTTCTATCTATATTTAACCCCTGCCTATTCCCAACATACAATATACAAACTCTAGGCTTTTTGTTGCAGGTTACCATTTTATTTCAATTTCATACAGGAAAAAAAATAACTTATCTCAATAGTCCCAATACAAAGATTCTTTTGTCAAGGAAAATAAAAATATCTATGTATTTTCCAAGACTGGATTCTAATTGCACAGATACTCTACATATAAAGTAGGAAAATTGCTCAAAGGCAT